TAGACTGGATGTGAGAATCAGTGTCTGAACGCTCCGTTAAGTGCAGCTTTCGTTATGAAACTCTTGAGAGTTGTCTCATCCAATCGGTTGAAGGCATCCGTTTGGACGACTGCCGTCAAGTGAATCAAAGCGAACCGAAAACAGTAGTCTTCGAGTCCTTTGGCGTCAAAGCGAATGGCGGCCGAGTATAGCATCGCTACGTTCTCGACGGTTATGCCGTTCCGTATGAGACGCTCGCACTTCAGCTTCAGATCAGTCTCGCAGTAAGAATTGGCCAAATCTAATAACCCGATGCCCTCTTCGGGCGCCACCTCTACCTCATCGGTGTATAGGTATTGAAGGAATGCATAATACACTGGATATGAGTATTGAGTCATCTGTTGGGCGAATCAATTCAATAAATACAATGATCGCCGCTAATGGCAAACAAACTAACCTCGAGTTCGCCTTTAGAGCTCTCCTCCCAATTACTGCCAAACATAGACCGGAAGTGTTCGCAACGAACTCGAAGTATAGCTTTGTGGACATGAATTGGCTTTTTCTCCACAATAAATATAAAATCACTGGTCTTCTGGTCATCGAAGGCTTGAGACAGACTATCGAGTACTCGATTTGAAGGACTCGACGATAACTCTACCGATCGATAGCTAACGGCTGGTATCGCGAAGGAGGCGAACACGTCGTGCATTGACTCCAACGGCGTTTCTGTCCAATTGAATAGCAATTTATTATAATCAACACAAATGTCAGTCAATTAAAATATTTTACCGAATGGTTGAGTAATTGAATGACTCCTGCATTGGCCCCACATATAGCTCTTTCCATCCTGTGTTATGGCCGCCGATATATGGATGTAATGCGAGGCAGCGATGTCTATAAATCGGCCCAAATTGGCGGCCACTTTGATGGGCGACGTCTGATTAGACTTACTTCCGGTGCCGAGTTGTCCGTAAGTATTGCTCCCAAAGGAATATATCGTTCCGTCGTCTGACAGGAGAAGTGTGTGTGCGTTACCGCTCACCACCTTTTGGATGACCACTCCGTTCAGGTTTGTCACCCGACATGGATTCGGTTGATTAGCATTGGTTCCCAAACCCAACTGTCCGTTTCCATTATAACCCCTATAATTGTCACCGAAACCACTTCATCAGTACAAAGCAAAACCCAAAGTATAGATCGCATACCAACTGAACACTTCTCCTGTATCTAACACAGCGAACGATGAGATCTGTCCGCAAGCGATGGCCACCACTTGCCGCGTACCGATTCCGGCCGTAATCTTGCGCGGCGTCGGCTGATTAGTGGTCGAACCGGAACCGATTTGTCCGCAATTGTTTTGGCCCCACGCGTACACTTCGCCCTCATCGGTGAGCGCCAGCGTGTGATAAGAACCGCAACTGATGTCCACAACTCGTTTGCCCAACAAATTGGACGTCACGTGAATCGGCGTCGACGACGGGTTTGTGGAGCTGTTCCCTAACTTCGCGACAATCAACGAAATCCAAACATAAATCTATTGTTTCTCTACTTTATTTAAATGGACACAAAACACCTGATGGTATGTGTTGTGACCCCACGACCAGACATCACCGTTGGACGTGAGAGCGCACACGTGTGGACCACTTCCGGCCGCTATTTTAATGACACTCTTTTTGGACATCAAATCGACTCTTCGGGGCTCAAAAGTGCCGACAGTATCGCCTAAACCCAGACATAGACTGCAATTGGATCCCAAAGCGTACATCTCGTC